TCAAAACTTTTACACTTTTGTTTTATTTCAGAGAAATTCCTGCCACATGTGGGATAGCTTCTGATCCAGTAAGAAGTCCCACCGTGGGTGGTGGTTGAGTTTTTTATTCCCATTTATTTCTAGTCTGAGCTCAGACATGGGCCAGTCGGATCTAAGTTTTTTCCCCCTGACAGATGAAATCTAGAGATAGGAAAGGAATTTGCGGAAGGCACAGTTGGGAAAACCCCCAGAATTCCTGCCTCGATCTGCTGGTATTTGCTCAACACCAGGCTGCTGCTGCCCACAGATGAGGACATAGAGGTTCCAGAGCAGAAACTGCTATGCTCTCTTAGGACTCTAAATGGTGTACATATGTGCACATGTATGTGGATGTGTGCACATGTATGTGGATGTGTGTGCTTGTATTTGTATAAGTGTATATGTGTATGTGCATGTATATATGTGTGTGATGTGTAAATATGTATGTGTATATGTTATTGTGTATACATGTTAGAATGTGCATGTGTGTGTGTGTGTGTGCATGTATGTGTGTTTGTGTGTGTGCACACGGGAAACCAGTGTGTGTAAGGGGAAGGGGGGAAAAGGAGGCTACAACAAAACTCTTCTGACTACTCAACAAAAGTATTCCTGACTTTTTTGGGACCACTGCTAACCCATATTGGAATGGGATGTTTAGTTCCCAAATTCTGTAAGGCAGTTTTGCTAATCTTGGGCACATACCTTAACATAGAACACATTTGTGTATGTCTGTCGTAATTACTTAAAACAGCTAGAAACTTCGTAGAAAAGTTATTTAAGTGAAGAGAGAGCTCAGTAGCCATTTCTTTATAATATCTGTTATATAATAAGGCTCATTAAAAGGTCAAATGTGTTTACAATTTCTAAAAAATGTAATAGGGAATATACTAGATGGGGTTTCTGTCTCGCTTTGCAAACCTTTTCCTCATTACCTCTTCCATTTCATCCTCAGCTTCCACACAGCTAAGCATTGATTACCGAGCTGCAAACTTCCTTTGTGGCTTTTCACCTCAGTAGACTGATGGTGAAGCAACCGAGTTCTGGAAGAATCAGTGCAGAATCTAACCATGTGTTGAGTGCATTATTTTTCTTTTCTTTCTTTTTCCTCTTCTTCTTCTTCTTCTTTTTTTTTTTTTTCCCCAAGTCAGAGAGTGTTGTGTCTTCTCCGTGCCCCACGATGAGAACCACCAATAGTGTGGTGGAGCTCCTGACGCTTTCTTTCCAAGTTCATGGCTCTTGCCACCTGCAGATGTTAACCTTCACGTCTCCCTGTGCTGGTGGACTGGTTTGGTGATCCGTGGGTGTCAGGATTTCTTCTGAGAGCTTTACGGGATGGATCAATGAGGTTAACCTCAGTGAATTTGTACATGGAATCTTGTACCAACCAGGTAAGAATTCAGAACTCTCAGAGCCCCGCAGTGATGTCCAGCTTGCTCCTCTGCAACAGACTGAAGGCTTAGGGCAAACTCTAGCTGGTAAACACCATGATGGACAGGTTTGCCATAGGTGGCACTCTTAGAAACTAAGTGTTTGTGACCACCACATCGCACATAGTTCTGATATATGGCATGATACCAGATTGCTTCTTCATCCAAAGCTCCTGGATGTACTTGTAAGCACCCATGTTTGCTGACCTTTGAGCTAAGGGCTGCAGCCAGATGTAAAGGAATGCATTATTTTTCAAAATATTAATCATATATTTTCCTAGAGTCTGATACTTAGTAGTTTGGCGGTAAGTGTCACTCCTCTATTTAAAGTCCTTAATGATTCTCTGTTACCTTCAGAATAAAATTTAGACTCAAGTTTGTCATTTAAAACCAAATTGCGTTTCTAATTATTGCCCCCAAATACTTGGGCCCCTAGCCATTCGGAACTGCGTACAGATTCTCAGACAATTCACACTCTTTCCTGCCTTCTTGCCTTTGCAAACATTATACACAGATGATGAAATAAAAATTTTCCCTGTCTACCCTCTTTACTAAATCCTACTTTGAAATTCTCCATGGAATCTTCTAGGATTTCCTCTCCTTCTGCTATTCCCCAAACACACACAAACTCATACAGACAGACACCTCCCCCCCCCCCGACACACACACCTGTGCCCTCATAACATCCTGTGAAGTGCTATCATACATCCCACTGTATTACATTTATTTCAAAACATTTTCAGGTTCCTCTGTTAGGGAGAACAGGGATCCCTTCTGACTATGAGGGCTCACACATGTGTGCTCACTACATTTTTGTTGCATGAGTATATAAGATACAAATTCTGATTTTACTGTACAACTCTCTGGGTGTAAGAAAGGAGTTACCCAAGCAATATGCATCTTGGGAAACCCCTATGTGGCGTTTAGAAGGGTAATTAAGGTACTCCAAAAGACCACATAATTCCTAGACCATGGCTTCATTATTCATTTATTAGTTGATGCTCTCCAAGGGAACATCAACTGTATCCTCTGACTGCCCTCTAACAATGGGGGAAAATAGCAGTCATTCCTCTATCCTGGGCCTCTTTCTCAGTAAATCCCATCTGTTGGAGTGTGCACAAGCACACAGCCTCTGGCGTGGGCCACAGTGATGAACAGAGGAGTTCTCCTCTGCATGGATAAACTCTTGAATCCATAGTTTCTGATTTCCCCCAATGAGCAAATGGAGACCCAAAATGTTGACTGACAACTGGAAGAGACATTAGAGGTGACCTTTTGTTCCAAGTGTTAACCCAAGTTATCTGCAGTTATTTTAACTGCAGACTTGAAAGGCTACATCTAAGAGCCCTTGACACAATTAAAATGACTAAACCATGAAACTTTCCCATATAAAACAAGTGCCAAATAAACAGACAACGAGACACAGAGCAGATAAAAGTGATTTCTCAGAGGCCATGCCTTCCTGTCTTCCTGACTTATTAGCTTATAAGTAATTGTCATTTTATAGGAAAAAAGGGAAGCTAAGCTTCTCCTAGAGAAGCAGTGTAACCTTGTGCAAGGAATGAGGCTTTGGAGCCGGAATCCCCAGATGTGACTCCTGGCCTCACTAGCTGTGTGCTCTTGAGCATGTCACTCCAACTCTCTGGGCTTCAGTGTCATTACACTATTCACACGTGCTCTCATGTCATAGTAGTGAGTGATTTAATGCATAAAAAGCACTCAGAAAGTTTTCTCAATGAAATTAGGTTGTTATTATTATGGTGCCAATAATGCAAAGGTTATTAACGACCTCTTTCACCTTTTTGTTTTTGCTTTTAGATCTTCTATTACAATGAGGTGCCTTGAGATATATTTGGCCATCCCTGGGCCATAGAAGGATCTCTGAACTGAACTAGTCATACCTGTTCAGATGATGTTTATTTTCACCTCACATTAAATGATGAAAGTATTATGAATCTAAAAATCACCCTGATAAAATCCCATTGATTCTAACTTTTGTTGTCTCTGAAGGGGAAAGCCAGCTTGATTCTGGCAAATCTACTGGAATCCTTCTCCACAGTGTTGTGGATCATATCCCAATTGCTTTCTAATTTGTTTCCCATGTTATAATCTAGCAATCAGAAAATAATGATAATATACTGCAAGAAAACTAAGTTAGTGCATGCTAATTTGCAAAGTGGGTAAGATAAGCATTGTACTCTCTTGAAAACAACAGGGGCGGAGCATAGAGTTATGCATCAGTGTAATAAATTCAACCTTTTGACTAGGTTCAGCATCCAAAATGCATAAAGTCTTTAGAAAGAAAATGAGTTAAACATTTTCATAGGAATATGGTAGCTATCCTGGAGGAATAAGTTACCAATTTCCTTCCCAAGCAGTTTGTTGATGTCTTTTGGGGATTCTAGATAGAGAAACTGGGTCACTAACAGGCCAGGTCCGAGGCAGAAGCTTATACTTAGCATGGGCAGAGACTTTAGGTGAGATCATTAAGCAAGCTCGGTTTGCAAGCATGGGGGAAACTAAGGTCATGGAACTGAGGACCCCTTTGTAGCCTCTGCTTTGGTAATCCCCAAATGCCATGATGAGCTGAGTCTTCCACCTGTCAAAAACTTCCTCTTTTGTTCTTAATTTATATTGGTGTCATGGATGTCTTTGCAAATCTGATAGAAATTATAAACACTTCTCCCAGAAAAATGTACACACACAGGCACCCATTTCTGCATATTAATTTCTGGCTTTCGTGGTTGTTCTCATGTTAAAAAATCCTTCTCAGTGGAGTGATTTTATATTATCTTCAGCGAACTTATCAATTAACATTTGAAAAGAGGTCTGACCACTTCATTTCCTTTTTAAAAATGTGTTATTTAAAATCCTGACTTGTAACTCTCCCAGAAGATTTTAGATCACTCACTTGTTTTGTTTTACTATGATCAGCAAGTTTCAGAAACCTCTGTACATGTTCCAAAGTGCCTAATTTCAGGGAAATTCTACTTCTGTCTGCTAGGAAAGAGCAGGAGGCATTGATGTATGCCTTCTTGGAAAGATTTTATTATAATTTTATGAGAAAATAAGCAAAGTGACTGTAATGTTATTCCCATATTGACTTATATGGAATAAACCTTGATGACCCACAGAATCTTGATCATAATTTGGACTCTAACCCCAAAATATATTGGTTTTGGAGAAATAAATGTACAAATGTACATAGCTCCTGTAGCCACAGAGGAAAAATTTCAAAAATATGGAGAAAAAAAAAGCTTTTTAAAGTTCACCCTCCATGGACCCATAAACACCACTATTGGTGAGCCAGTTAATGAATTTCTATGCTTAGGTCTTATATTTTAAAGTTGGGACAGAGAAACATCCTAGATATCTGATGTAAGAATTTGTTTTGAAGAAGTTTGGCAATTAACAGAAAGCTACTCTAAAAGCACATTTTACTCTTAAGAGTAAAATCCTTAGGAACGTTTATAATAGTTTATAAAAGTTTGTAGTAATAAATATTTACCACTTTACTTTTTCCTTTGAGACCAATCATCACAGACCAAAAGCAGCTAAGTTTATAATAATTTATTAAGGTTGCATATAATTTGTCATGTATAATAAATTATAAAAACCATAGCATCTTCATAAACTATTTAGTATATCATACTCACTTCCTAATGCTTACTGCAATAACTGTAAGAAATCTAATTAGATTATATTTTAGCATTAGTTAGAAGATAAAAAAATCATAAAATTTTTTCACAGTACTTTGGATTTAGGAAGGACCCCATTCCTTTAGCTTTTGTGCAATTAGTCTGAAATGTATAAAAACGTTTTACAAACCAGAAGCGTTTTACTGAGCTGCTGAAAGTATTGCATAATTTGTAACTAACACCCTTGTGGTGCACTTTTTCGGCACTGTAAAAAATGCAAATAAATAGTCAATTACTGATCTCTAAGAATCTATACCCATAGACCACATTGAAGCTTGGCAACATTTTGCAACATTCAAATTAAAAATTCAGTAAACATAGGAGCATAGTGTTCTCTCTCCTTTTCCCCCTCTCCCTCCTCCCTCTCCCTGCCCAGTTCGGCTAAGGAAAACAAAGTTCAGGTTGAATTGAAGTCCTAGGGCCTGAGAAAGAGACTCTGGCCGCAATTCTTCCCCAGCTCTCTGTTGTCTTGAGTCTCAGTCCTCATTACATCCGTTCAGACTCCTCTCCGACGCCAGCATCAGTCCTTTCCCCTCAGGGAGAGTCTGCAAATCCTTGCTGAAAGCATTTCCTTCTCCACTGTAACAGCACAGGCGTGAAATTTGTTGGAGTCTTTGTAACCAGTTTGCTCTGTTTCTTTCCCACCTCCGTCGTTCTGATGGAAGAGAAGCTTGCGAGGCAGCCACAATTTAATGCTGCCTGTGCTGGGTCTCACAAACTCCCTTGGTCTTTAAATGTCTATTCTTGGATAATGTCCTTATCCATTCTCTTGTCCTCAGTGAACTTTGATGGAATATTTCCGCAATTTCAGAAATTGGAAAAGCTTGTCTTTCGTCCTCTTCTTCAGGGCCATCAGCGCTCGTGTTTTCTCCTCCAAATCTTGATCGATGGCAAAAATGATCTTAGCTCGCTCCTCCGCTTTCTTGTCCCCAGAGTTTCTGAAAAGTCTCTGTAGAGATTCTTGGTCTATGTTTTCAAAGATGTTGGCCACGGCTTTCTTACGCGAGGCTGTGTCGAAGTGATAGCCGTGGATGGACGGGCTAACGCGCAGCGAAGTGGACATGATGATGGCTTGGTGGCTTGGCTTTGCTTTCATCGATGTGGGAATCTTTGGGAATTCTGCTCCCCAGCTCTCCAGAGAGTCTGTAGCAAAATCATTCTGGGACTGCTATTTAAAGTGTGAACAAAAGCTCCAGGCTCAAATTACACTGGTGACATCAGAGTGATCTCAAGGAAGAATAATCACAGACAGGTTTAACAGTTGAGTTGCCAATATCCTGTTCTTGTGCAAAATGTTAAGAGCTGCGCTCCGTGTTGGAGCAGGGATGTGGGGATTTCTTTTTACCACATCTGTGGCAATAGGATTAAAGAGGCTTGGGGCCGTCTTCTAAAAATAGCTGAAACCAGGAAAGGGCAAAGGTAAGACACAAACAAAGTGGCTTAGACTCTCAAAGTCTTTCCAAACAACTGCCGAAACAAAGGCTTCTGCTAACTACAGGAAAGTTTTAATTCCCGGAGAAGTCATTAAAGTGTATTCCAAACATTTGGCAGCCCATGCCTGTGTCCTTTGGACATCCCCCATCCAGGGCCGCTCCACAGCTGCTGAGAGAAAGCCGAAGAATCAAGGTCTTCGATCGGGACTACATCGGATTGTAAAGGGGACTTCACCAACAAAATGCTGACATGACGCAGCCTGAACCTGTGAACTTTCAGAGACTGAGTACAAGAGACAACCTGTAATCACTGAATAAAATTGTAATTTATTATTTATTTATTTAAAATCTTTTTAAAAATTTTTTTTAAAAGATGTTATTTTTAAGTCCTCTCTACACCCAGTGTGGGGCTTGAACTCACAACCCCAAGATCAAGAGTCGCACGTTCCACTGATTTAACCAGCCAGGTGCCCCCAAACTGTAATTTAATAAAAATAATAATAATAGACAACATCTCTTTAGTCTTGTATATATAACAGAAATGCCTTTTTTTTTTTTTTTTTTTTAAGTGAGGAAGGAAAGTCAGGTGCTTTATGGACATAGTACTCAAAAAAGTAATTTGATGTTTTCTTTTAATATTTATTTTGGCTCTGCCCAGACATAGAGCAGTACCTTCTCTGGAAGAATTTAAATTTGTTCTTCTCACCTTGCATAATGTGCTGCCAGCCAGTGGCTCCATTGGTGTGGAGCACTGACATTCAACCACATGATCGATGTCAGCAACAGAGGGCCCCAGGGACTCCTCTTAGGGAAGCCGGGCTGGTCTTCACAATTTCCTCTGATCAGTCAAATTAGGTCTAGAATGTGCAAAAGTGGAGAGAGTGTGGAGAAGGTACCTCACTAGAAAATTGAGTTAGAGAATCTTCTTACGTATTCATTCACTCACTCACTCATTAATTCAATCAATATTTATTAAAAAAGTAAAGTACTTTATTAAAAGTAAAGCTCTACTTTTAGCTAGAACATTTTTAGGCACTGGAAGCCTAAGAGTAAATGAAACTGAACCAAACCAAACAAGATCCCCACAGTCACCTTAATGGAGTTTACATTTTACCGAGAAACAGATAATGGAAAAATGTACACTTCTAATCTAGATGATGTCAGAAAGTAATGCCTACTAGGGATAAAAAAAAATGAAGCCAAGTTGTACAGGAGAGGAAGGGGAAGGGAGGGTTGAAATTTGCCTGGGATATTCAGAGGCAGCTTCTGCAAAAGTGACACTGTACAAAGACTTGGAGGAGGTGAGGGAGTTAGCCGTGGAGGTCTCTGGAGGAAACGTGTTGTAGGCAATAGGGACAGCAAGTTCAGAGGCTGAAGACAAGAATGTGTGTGGAGTATATGGAGAACAGGGGATCAGTATGGCTGGAGCAGAGTGGCCAGAGAAGATGGGACAGAGGTGAGGTCAGGAGCAAATGGCAGTGGGATTAGGATAGGAACCTTCTGAAGCTTTTTCACGGATTGAGTTTTTGCTCTATAGGACATGGGTGGCCTCAGAAAATGTGGAGCAGAAAAATGTCATGATTTTACTTATAATCATAATCGTACCATTTCTTAGTGGAGAACACATTTTAAGGAGACAAGAGGTTGCATGAGGAGCAAGAAGACTAGTTACGTTGCTGTCAAAATAATCCAGGCAAGAGACGATGCAGGTCCCCACCAGGAGGGTCGCCATGCAGGTGGCGAGAGCTGAGCCGATGTGGGCATATTGTGAAGGCCAAGTCAGAAGGACTTGTTGAAGGCTCTGACGTGAGGAATGGGAGATGGACAGGAACCCAGCACGATCTCTTCCTGAAGGATGCTTCTTTGAAAGACATTTCTAGGGGAGCTGGTGTTCAATTCCCCAACCATGGCCATGGCTGTCTTCTCCAGCTTTTCCATGCAAGGGCCCTGCGATCTGCTGCCAAAGACTGCGGGCTACTGGCACACCATGGTGGTGATTAAAAATATGCTCATTTTCCTCACTATTAAAAATTGTTATTATTATGTCAGCAAAGATTTTTACTGAATTTTTATTAGATGCCAAACACAGTGTCCCAACATTACACAATCCACCTTCATGTTGTCACTATCAGTAAAAGGCTTCGCCGACCCTGTCATCCTGTGCTCTTTCTTGAGGTGATGCTTACAGGCTCATGCTTGTACTAACTGACTACTCCCAAATTTTAATTCCTCATTTATTTAACTAAACGACCAATACAAATATATGCAAATGCCTTTGTATATTTACATATAATATAAGCAAATATATTTGTACATTTACATATATGCAAATATGGTACAAATAGCTGTTCAATTATAAAAGTCAGAAACCCAGCTATAATCTTTGATTTCTCTCTTTCTTTTTTCTCCTATCTAGATCTTTCTCTATCTCCCTCTCTCTCTATATATACATATATATACTTATATATAAATTCTATATAAATTATATATGTGTTTGTGTGTGTATATTATATATATATATATATTTTAATCTAAAAAATATTTCTAAAATCTATCCCCTTTATGATGTCCCCAGATGCTCAGCTGTCAGCCACCTTCAGGGACTGCCACCACTGAAGAAATTCACCCTCCTCCTGGTACAGCTGCATCTAGTGACTGATCAGCAGGAAGGTGTAAGGGCCCACTGCCCTTCCCCCAACTCTGAGGGGTCATGCACACTTCAGAGAATCCTTCAGGGTCAGTTGAAACCTCCTTCTGGCCAAACCTGGTTTTTCCCCCATCGGAAGGCATTGATCCCAAGAGCACTCTGTGATAAATCACCTGCCTGCTGATCTCCCTCTGGGGATGTGCTTCCTTGGAAGGAAGCCCAGGCTATGATACCCTGTCTTCTCCCGCCGCCCCCCCCCCCAACCCCGGACTAAAGCCTAACCTCTTTCCTGGCATTCCTGCTTCCACTCTTGCCTTCATTCTCTACAAAGCACCCAGAGCAATAGTTTTTAATAAGCAACCTGGTCAGACCACTCTTGCTGTTACTCTTAAACAAAGCCCCCAAATCTTAACATAGCCTTTTTGAGGACAACCTGCTCTGGTTCCTGCGGACTTCTGCAGCATCATGATTTGTCACTCTCCCTCGTGCTTTTGTGCCTTCCAAATCCTTGAATGTACCAAACTCATTCCTGCCATGGGGCTTAACACACATTTTTCTTCTTTCCAGAATGTTCTTTTTTACATTTTACTTCAGCTAGGTAATACCTATTCGTGCATAAAATCTCAACTAAAAACTACTTGCTCAGAGCAGCCTCCTCTGTTCTCTGGTTCTTTTAGACTTAGATCAGTTCTCTTTGCCAACATAAATTCATTAGTCCTTAGTAGCACTTACTACAATTTGCAAGTGTACGTTTATTTTTCTAAGTATTCATTAAAAGTCTAGCTCCACCAAGAGCAACAATAAGATCAATCTTCCTCATTTCTGTGCCTAAATTAGCTCCTGGATCACTTAATTGTTTTTTCATAGTAATATTAAATAACATGTTTGTAATCCTATTTAACTCCATAACAATGCTTCATAGTAGGAACTATTATAATTCTCATGTTAGAAATAAGAGAACTGAGGCATTGACAACTGACTACCTGTTGTGGGTGATTAATGCCCCCTAAAAATGTCCATGTTCTAGTCCCTGGAACCTAAGAATATAAGCCAAAAGAAAACTTATATTGCAAAAGGGACTTTTATGGTGAAAGGAAGTTTGCAGTTATAAATAAGTGAAAGAACTTGAGATGTAGAGATTATTTTGGTTGAGATCTTGAGATGTAGATCTCAGAGATCCTGAGATGTAGAGATTATCCAAGTTGGCTCATGTAATTTTAAACGTCTTTACAAGAAAGGGAGAAAGATGTTATGCTGCTAGTTTAGAAGAAGCTGGAGGAAGGGTCCATGAGCCAAGGAAGGTAGACGGCCTCTAGAAGCTGGAACAGGCAAAGACACAGATGTTCTCTGCATCCTTCAGAAGGAATATATCATTGTGTACCCACTTTAGATTTCTGGCCTCTTGAACTGTAAGATAATAAATTTGTGTTGTTTAAAGCTCCTAAATTCGTGGCAATTTGTTACAGTGGCAATAGGAAACTAATTTCCTCTGCAAATCCTTCAACTATGATGAGACAACTTGAACCCAGGGCTATTTGACACACATTTTCCCTCTTTCCAGAGGGAAGCCCATGATTTTAAACTCTCGACTGTATTACTCTCAAATCAACCACGAGCTCTGGCATCAAAACCCCTGAATAATGTTTCTACGTGACATTGAGCAGTTCTTCTTGAGTGTTGCCTAAAAGCATTCAGATGCATTTGAGAGATTAAGGAGTTTCAAAATTGCTTAGAGGACAAGACCATCCACAGGGAAACAATGTCAGTTTCTGTTTCCCAGAAATGCAACACAAACCTTAAGGTTGCTATTTACTGATGCTCTTTGCCAAAGGTAAATCCATGCGTGCCTGGAAAGCCTTTTACGGCTATCACCCTACTCATTCCCTTCTTTAAGTATTTTCAGCGAATGATGTGGATGACAGGATCTAAAAAACTACTGGCAAAGATTCCCAAATTGCATGTGGACAGGACCATATCATATAGACATCTTACAGAATGTTTGCTTTCGGTAGTAGAGACAGGAGATAATGAAAGCTATTTGGAAGAAGCGGTGTCTGATCTGTAGTTTCCTCTGGGCATCAGCTTTGCCGGATGCTTTCATTATACAAAGAGACTGAGTTTCTGTTTGACAGCAACAGATGCGCTTGGATGGTTTTGTGTCTGATAAAGCGATCTGTGAAAACAAGGGGAAAGAAGGAAACAAACACTAAGTGACTTCTATACCTTGTTATTCTCCGTGTAATAACCACCTGACT